AACTACTGTTCACATTATTATTATTATTATGTATGTAACTGTTATTATAATCATTATTATTACAGTTTTCTAATAATATTACAATTGTTATTGCCCCTCTTCTCCCGTAGGAACCCACTTCCAGAGGCTGATCCCAGAAGGAGGCGCAGCAGCAGAGCGTCCTGAGGAGGTGAAGCGCCTCATCTTCTGCACGGGGAAGGTTTACTACGAGCTCACCAAGGAGAGGAGGAGCCGAGGGATGGAGGACGTGGTCGCCATCGCTCGTATAGAGCAGGTACACACACACACACACACAGTGTAGACCAGGTACACACACACACACAGTGTAGAGCAGGTACACACACACACACACACACAGTGTAGAGCAGGTACACACACACACACACAGTGTAGAGCGGGTACACAAACACACACAGTGTAGAGCAGGTACACACACACACAGTGTAGAGCCGGTACACACACACACACAGTGTAGAGCAGGTACACACACACACACACAGTGTAGAGCGGGTACACAAACACACACAGTGTAGAGCAGGTACACACATACACACAGTGTAGAGCAGGTACACAAACACACACAGTGTAGAGCCGGTACACACACACACAGTGTAGAGCAGGTACACACACACACACAGTGTAGAGCGGGTACACAAACACACACAGTGTAGAGCAGGTACACACATACACACAGTGTAGAGCAGGTACACAAACACACACAGTGTAGAGCAGGTACACAAACACACACAGTGTAGAGCAGGTACACACACACACACAGTGTAGAGCAGGTACACACACACACACAGTGTAGAGCAGGTACACACACACACACAGTGTAGAGCAGGTACACACATACACACAGTGTAGAGCAGGTACACACACACACACAGTGTAGAGCAGGTACACACACACACACAGTGTAGAGCAGGTACACACATACACACAGTGTAGAGCAGGTACACACATACACACAGTGTAGAGCAGGTACACACACACACACAGTGTAGAGCAGGTACACACACACACACAGTGTAGAGCAGGTACACAAACACACACAGTGTAGAGCGGGTACACAAACACACACAGTGTAGAGCGGGTACACAAACACACACAGTGTAGAGCAGGTACACACATACACACAGTGTAGAGCAGGTACACACACACACACAGTGTAGAGCAGGTACACACACACACACAGTGTAGAGCAGGTACACACATACACACAGTGTAGAGCAGGTACACACATACACACAGTGTAGAGCAGGTACACACACACACACAGTGTAGAGCAGGTACACACACACACACAGTGTAGAGCAGGTACACACACACACACACAGTGTAGAGCAGGTACACACACACACACACAGTGTAGAGCAGGTACACACACACACACACAGTGTAGAGCAGGTACACACACACACACAGTGTAGAGCAGGTACACACACACACACAGTGTAGAGCAGGTACACACACACACACAGTGTAGAGCAGGTACACACACACACACAGTGTAGAGCAGGTACACACACACACACAGTGTAGAGCAGGTACACACACACACACAGTGTAGAGCCGGTACACACACACACACAGTAGAGCAGATACACACACACACACTGTGGCGCGCGTACACACACACACACACAGTGTCGAGCGGGTACACACACACACACACACACACAGAGTCGAGCAGGTACACACACACACACACACACACAGTGTAGAGCAGGTACACACACACACACAGTGTAGAGCAGGTACACACACACACACACAGTGTAGAGCAGGTACACACACACACACACACAGTGTAGAGCGGGTACACACACACACACACACAGTGTAGAGCGGGTACACACACACACACACAGTGTAGAGCAGGTACACACACACACACACAGTGTAGAGCGGGTACACACACACAGTGTAGAGCGGGTACACACACACAGTGTAGAGCGGGTACACACACACAGTGTAGAGCGGGCACACACACAGTGTAGAGCGGGCACACACACAGTGTAGAGCGGGCACACACACAGTGTAGAGCGGGTACACACACACAGTGTAGAGCGGGTACACACACACACACACCATATAGAACTGGTACCAGACAAAATCGAGACGGTAAACACAAACTACAGCACCATACGAGGGACAAAAACATTCCGACGGAACATTATTTACAGAGAAGAAAGTATTAAGTCATGTGACATGTGACCCCCCCCCCTCTCCCCCAGCTGTCCCCGTTCCCCTTCGACCAGGTGAAGGCGGAGTCAGAGCGTTTCTCCAACGCCGACCTGGTCTGGTGTCAGGAGGAGCATAAGAACCAGGGTTACTATGACTACGTGAAGCCCCGCATCAGAACCACGATTGAGAGGGCCAAGCCCGTCTGGTAAGGAGCTCCGTCACCACAGGGTGTCCGTGGGGGGGTTCGGGGTGAGTGCTGACCTTTGAACTCTTATGTCTCAGGTATGCAGGCAGGGGGCCGGCGGCCGCCCCGGCCACGGGCAACAAGAAGGCCCACCTCATGGAGCTGCAGCGTTTCCTTGACAACGCCTTCGGCCTGGACGCGTTCAAGGACCAGCAATAGACCCCTGACCTCTGACCCCTGACACACCCGAAACAATACACCCCCCCAGACTGCACACCACATAGTACACACTGTCTATCACAACTACAAGCAGTACTACGTGTGTACTCAGTACTACTAAAGTAATAGCAGTATTAGCAGTACTGTCAGAGAACATGAAATGTCTCTATCATTTAATAAATGAATTGATTGATTTGATGGATGAAATAAAAACACAGGTATTCAGATACTTGGCTTGATGCGGTGTGTACTTTATGGTGTCAGTATGTAGTACATCTAATGGTACATTTGTACAGCAAAGTACTACTCAATATACATATATAGTAGTACTTTGGAGTACCCTGTGTACTACTACAGTAGTACATCACCACCACGAAAAGCAAGTTGTACTACAAGATTACTACTATTTTGAAGTGATACTTAAATAAACATGACTCATTATGTCTAAAGTACAAGTACACAGATACATGTCTGCAGTTTATAAACTAAAGTACAACAAAAAATACTGAGACGGTTTTCTTTAAAATCATCAATATTTAAAATGAAGTCCGGTGCAAAGTAGTTGCTCTGCTAGTTGCGCTAGTGGAGGAGTTGCTGGTGGCTGATGTGTCAGCAGGTCAGCAGGTGTGATGTCATTGTCGCCGTCATCTCTTCACCTGAAACGTTTGAACTCTTTCTGATAAATGACTCGTTAGCATCGCTAGCACGGTTAGCGCTACCCATTGAGAGCAAACGGGAGTCCGGCTACAAGCGGCTGTAGTCGCTACGACAGGCGCTTGTTTGGGGTTTATTTGCCTTTTCATTCTTTTTCTGGGCGGGTGGTTCCTGGTTAATTTGTCACCGTGGCAACGCTTCATTCGCACATTGAGATTTGTATTGTTTTTCTTTACGTTGGGGGATTAGAATGAAAAAGAGGTCTGCGCCATGAGCTCAACCAAATGCACCGCTGGTGATGATTAACTCTTCCTCTTCAGCCTCCTCTTCCTCATCCTCTCCTGCTCCTCCTCCTCTTGCAGCGTTTATCTGGTGCCAAAGTGGAGCGTCTTCATGTTTCTGTGGTTTTTCTTCTTAAACTCTTGTCAACAGGAAGTGAAATGAGACGTTTCTTCTTCTGCACGACAAAGAAAATGATTTATTTATTTTCATAAGATTCTCTTCATTGTTTTGCTTCATTCAATAAAGAAACTGTCCTGAAGACCTTCCGCATCGTTCATTTGGGATTCGTAACCTTTCTGCTCTGATATTCTTTAAATTAAATGAAGTTGGCGACTCATCAAAAAAGCAGTAAAAGTCACAAAAGAATGTATAAAAACGTTAAATATAAAAATAGCGGCGTCAATGGCTTAAAAGGTGAAGTAATAGTCCTGGATCTTCTTCCTGTTGGCGGTGGAACAGGTGCCTCCGCTGGCTTTAGCCTCCTCAGGAAGAAGAGCCTCTGCTGGGCTTTCTTCACCACATGTGATGTGTTCAGGGACCAAGTGAGGTCTTTAGTAATGTGGAGTTCCAGGAATTTGATGCTGTCCACCTCCTCCCCCCTTAGATTGAGTGTTGGAGCCATGTTTAGTTTGGTTGTCAATGAAACTAACATGGAAATGTTTGGAAACCCGTCAAGATACATGGAAACGAAAGAGACAGCGGAATGTAAAACAAGCAAGATTCGGATTAATGAGTGGACGAAAGCATCTTGATGAAAGGTGATGATTCAATTCATTTTATTTTATTTTGTAGAGCCCAAAATCGCAAATTACAAATTAGCCTCAGAGGGCTTTACAGTCTGTACACATACGACATCCTCTGTCCAGAAACCCTCCATCGGCACAGGAACAACTCCCCAAACAATGAAGACCCTTCCAAGAGGGAAAAAAGGGAAGAAACCTCAGGGAGAACGTCAGAGGAGGATCCGTCTCCTGATGGACAGACTACAATGACGTCATGAGGACAGAATGAACAACGTATAATACATGAGACTATATGACAGAAATGATTCAAGTAGTTGTGAGTAGTAAACCAGACGCACAGCAGGACCACTGCAGGGACCACCACCATCACATAGAACCACCATCACATAGAACCTCCATCACATAGAACCACCATCACATAGAACCACCATCACATAGAACCACCGTCACATGGAACCATGTGATGGTGGTTATCCATGAATTGACCTTAGCCAGCAGTTTGAGATCAGACTCAATGTCGCCCGCTCTGGCCCCCGGTACACGTGTGACTATGGTCCCTGGTTTCTCTTCTGGTTCCTCAGAATGGAGCTTCCGATCACCAGAGGTGGCTTCTCAGCGTCGCCGGTGGGGAGAAGCGGGTTGAAACGTGACGTGGTTGGTGGATGATCAATACACTGCGATCAGTAAAGGGACTGATGGCTGAAGAAAAGGATCAAATGGAAAAATACAAAACTGTTGTCGTTTTATTTATTGATTTTGATACATACTATTGTTTTAGCGTTGCCTCTGATTATCACCATGTTCCTATAATATCATCATCATCAGGACCAGTCCACGGAGACCAGAAGCCCGGGTCCTCCTGAGGACCAAATGAGACACAGTTTCAGGTGATCGTTCACAATTAAAAACACAGTTCAGATGTTGTCGCCCCCTGTGGACTAAGTCGGTCGTGTCTCCTACCGCCAGCGTCCCTTTAGAGAAGCGCTCATTCCACAGACCGGGTCCCCGAGGGCCCCCCTTCTCTCCAGCGGGTCCGCACCACGTCCTGGGTCTCCCGAGGAGGAGGAGAGGAGCCGAGCTCGCCTCTTACCTCCGGAGCGTCAACCTCAGGTCTCTCTCTCTCTCTCTCTCTCTCTCTCTCTCTCTCTCTCCCCCCCGCCCCCCTTTACTACACCGGCAGCGATGCGGATGAAACCCAGCGGATCCTCCGTCTGACTCCGGCCGCCTCTGTCTTGTGGTCCCCGGCGGATGGTGCCTCCTCTCGGACGCAGCAGAAGGGCTAGCTGGCCGCATTTAACCCCGCGCCTGGCGGGTTGACTCTCGGCCACCTCGCTGTGTTTTATCGGTGACGTTTGTGGACATGTCGGGGGGCGTTTGACGGGATTCTCCCGGTTCTGACGTCTGGGTGCACTCGGTTCTTCATGCCCCGGAGGCCCGGAGGAGCTCAGACTGCGGAGCCCCGGAGCAGAGCTCGGACTCCGGGGAAGTAGCGGAGGTATGTTGGTCACGATGTGCGAGAGGCTTTTACAGATTGACCGTAACCAAAACGCGTCGCCCCGTAGAACCGGAACCGGGAGCCGCACGTTGTCTGACGTTTGTGTGTTTTGTGTTGGGAGGACGAAGCTAGCTGCGGGCTAACTGGTAGCCTCGTAGCATTCCATTGTCACAGCTCGCTGGAGCTAGCTATGCTAACCTGCTATCAAACAACCAGATAATCTCAACACAGCGCGGTTAATGTTACGCGTGGTATCGGACGTATGTGTCGTCGCTTCGCGGCGGCTCGGGTGTCACTGCTCGGCGGGGTAACGTTTTCAGATGCGGGGGACTTGTCGTCTCCGTTCGCTAGCAGGCTAATGCTAACAGCCTCATTTCCCCTCCGCTCGAGCAGGGAGCTGTCTCCTAGCATGTTAGCATTAGCTGCTACACTACAAGGGATCGCAAAATGTCTCCTGGGTGTCTCTCGTTTTGTAATGAAGGATTCTCTTCAGCGGGGACGAGACGCGAGGACAACATGTCCCTGTTGTTATTTATGTTGTTGTTATTTATCTTTTAGTCGTAACGTCACAGCTCAGAATAGCACAGGTTGGTAGTTTGAAGGCCGGATGGTGACTTTACTTTATTGACTTGAACACTGATGTGTATTTGTTATTTGGGTGAGAGGTATTTAGTTGTATTAATAAGGTTTAGAGGTATTTAGTTGTATTAATAAGGTTTAGAGGTATTTAGTTGTATTAATAAGGTTTAGAGGTATTTAGTTTTATTAATAAGGTTTAGAGGTATTTAGTTTTATTAATATGGTTTAGAGGTATTTAGTTGTATTAATATGGTTTAGAGGTATTTAGTTGTATTAATATGGTTTAGAGGTATTTAGTTGTATTAATATGGTTTAGAGGTATTTAGTTGTATTAATATGGTTTAGAGGTATTTAGTTGTATTAATAAGGTTTAGAGGTATTTAGTTTTATTAATAAGGTTTAGAGGTATTTAGTTTTATTAATAAGGTTTAGAGGTATTTAGTTTTATTAATAAGGTATGTCTTTGAAAAGTTAAGTGTAATTGGAATGGTATAAATACCCATAAAATGTAATTCATTTGAAATACTCCACGCCCCACAAATAAATATATACTTCTATTTTGAGATGTGTATATATATATATATATATATATATATATATATATATATATATATACAGTATATTGTCCAGCCCGTGAGTCACTGATCAGTTAACTCTCTCCTGCTTTTATACTTCTGTTTGTTTCTGAGAAATAATGTATCTGCCTTTTAAATACTACAATTCCCAAGAGCCTCTGCTCTTCTCAGGAGGAAGAAAAGTCCCAAACGTTTCGCTGTTAGAAAAGCATGGATCTCGATCTACAGTGAGAGTCGTGCAGACGACACAAACAACCATAAGCGCGCGATGCTAACGGTTACTCACATGACCTGCGTCTCTACGTCACGATCGTTGTTTCTCGTGAACCGACCAATGATACGTCACTATTCAGATATCGCTGTGGGAATTGTCTCCTCTCCTTTGGCGAAGGACGCTCTCGTTCAGGGGGCTGAATACTTTGACCAGTCGATTAAAAATACCACGTCACGCGTGCAGGGGATGACCGCCATGACCCGGATCGTTGAAGAGTAGCTCGCGACCCGGTGTGGGCTCTCCTGGTCAGGGGTCTTCAGGCCATGGAGATGGAGCAGGGACCCCCGATTCCTCAGTTTGGTCCACGCTGAGCAAGAGTGGATCTGATTGGCTGTGATGTCGTATCAGCGTGAGAGCTGCTGTGGGACTGAAAGACAACGTCTCCTCCATCAAAATATCCGTTTCTACAACATGTTGGGTTCATGTTCATGTGTATTTAAAGACAATAAATACAAGTCTGATTCTCAAGACATTTCAATCTGTTGAAAAAAGAGAACTTGTCCAGCAGACCTCCAGTGGATCCTCTGCTGAAGGAGCGAGGTAGACCTCTGCTCCAGCGGTTCCTCTGCTGAAGGAGCGAGGTAGACCTCTGCTCCAGCGGTTCCTCTGCTGAAGGAGCGAGGTAGACCTCTGCTCCAGCGGTTCCTCTGCTGAAGGAGCGAGGTAGACCCCTGCTCCAGTAGTTCCTCTGCTGAAGGAGCGAGGTAGACCTCTGCTCCAGCGGTTCCTCTGCTGAAGGAGCGAGGTAGACCTCTGCTCCAGCGGTTCCTCTGCTGAAGGAGCGAGGTAGACCTCTGCTCCAGCGGTTCCTCTGCTGAAGGAGCGAGGTAGACCCCTGCTCCAGTAGTTCCTCTGCTGAAGGAGCGAGGTAGACCCCTGCTCCAGTAGTTCCTCTGCTGAAGGAGCGAGGTAGACCTCTGCTCCAGCGGTTCCTCTGCTGAAGGAGCGAGGTAGACCTCTGCTCCAGCGGTTCCTCTGCTGAAGGAGCGAGGTAGACCTCTGCTCTAGTGGTTCCTCTGCTGAAGGAGCGAGGTAGACCTCTGCTCCAGCGGTTCCTCTGCTGAAGGAGCGAGGTAGACCCCTGCTCCAGTAGTTCCTCTGCTGAAGGAGCGAGGTAGACCTCTGCTCTAGCGGTTCCTCTGCTGAAGGAGCGAGGTAGACCTCTGCTCCAGCGGTTCCTCTGCTGAAGGAGCGAGGTAGACCTCTGCTCTAGTGGTTCCTCTGCTGAAGGAGCGAGGTAGACCTCTGCTCCAGCGGTTCCTCTGCTGAAGGAGCGAGGTAGACCTCTGCTCTAGTGGTTCCTCTGCTCAAAGGAGCGAGGTAGACCTCTGCTCCAGCGGTTCCTCTGCTGAAGGAGCGAGGTAGACCTCTGCTCTAGTGGTTCCTCTGCTGAAGGAGCGAGGTAGACCTCTGCTCCAGCGGTTCCTCTGCTGAAGGAGCGAGGTAGACCTCTGCTCCAGCGGTTCCTCTGCTGAAGGAGCGAGGTAGACCTCTGCTCCAGCGGTTCCTCTGCTGAAGGAGCGAGGTAGACCTCTGCTCTAGTGGTTCCTCTGCTGAAGGAGCGAGGTAGACCTCTGCTCTAGTGGTTCCTCTGCTCAAAGGAGCGAGGTAGACCTCTGCTCTAGTGGTTCCTCTGCTCAAAGGAGCGAGGTAGACCTCTGCTCCAGCGGTTCCTCTGCTGAAGGAGCGAGGTAGACCTCTGCTCCAGCGGTTCCTCTGCTGAAGGAGCGAGGTAGACCTCTGCTCTAGTGGTTCCTCTGCTGAAGGAGCGAGGTAGACCTCTGCTCTAGTGGTTCCTCTGCTGAAGGAGCGAGGTAGACCTCTGCTCTAGTGGTTCCTCTGCTGAAGGAGCGAGGTAGGCTCAGTCTGACTTCACTCAATCAGGAACCTTCCCAAGAACATTCCACACTTTGAATCCACCCATGAAGTTTTTAATGCTGATCCATGTAGTTCAGATTATTAATCCACTGTCTGTCTCTCCAGGTCTTGGTCCCTCTGTCCCTCCCCCCATGAATCTTCTGAACCAGATGAGAGGTGGACTGGGCAACAACCCCCACAGGTACCAACACAGGTACACCTGCCCCCCCCCCCCCCCCTCCTCCCACACACACACACACACACACACTCGTACTGATTGAACCAATTGTTCTCTTGTGTGTGTGTGTAGTGAGGGTTCGTACCCCTACGACCCCTCCAGCTGGCAGCAGCCCACCAACCCGCCCACAGGGTCCCTCTCCGTGGTGACCACGGTTTGGGGCGTGACCAACCCCTCGGCCAGCCAGGTATGACCTCACCAAACAGGAAGCACTAACGTTGAAACAGTGTGTGTTTTCAGTGTGTAACTGTGTTCACAGGGAATGGGCGGAGGGGGGATGGGGCCCGGAGCCAACCAAGGCGGGGGCCCCATGATGCAGGGCCCCGGGGGGCCCGGCATGGCCGGGGGTCCTGGCAGCTACATGGGCCAGCAGGGCTACGGCGAGCCCAGCAAAGGCTACATGAACCAGGGCATGTACGGCCGCCCCGCGGGGGGCTACGGCGGAGCCCCGGGGGGCTTCTCCAGCAGGTGGGTCACTCAACCAATGATGGAGCGTTCACACGTATGATGTATTGAACGATCCGTTTCACACACGTATGATGCATTGATTGATTGATCAGTGTCACACACGTATGATGTATTGATTGATCAGTTACCCGACTAACCCCGGAGGCTCCAGAGGCTCGGCTGACTTCACTCAGGCCGCCGCCGCCGCCGCTGTCGCTGCTGCCGCCGCCACGGCTACGGCCACCGCCACGGCAACCGTTGCCGCCATCCAGGAGAAACACAACCAGGAGATGAACTACGGACAGGTGGATGGGGGGGCGGGTGTTACTTTGTGGTGCATTCAAGGACGTCACTAGATATCAATGACTGTAATGATCTTATTGTGAATTTTAACGCTTGTTTTCATATCAGATGGGGGGTCAGGCCTATAACAACCAGTACATGACCCACTCCGGACCCCGCGGCCCCCCTGGCATGGCCACCGGAGGTATGGGCCCTGGGCCTGGACCCAACAGGGGCCCTCCCTCCATGGGCCCCATGTATGGACCTGGCGGAGGCCCCCAGAGGGTCCCTCAGCACCCAGGCTACGGCCCCGGGCCCCAGCAGGGCCACCTGAGGCCCCCGCAGGGCCTGAAGCGCCACTACAGCTCTGAGGTGAGAGTCCAGAGGGCTACGCAGGTCACTGGGGTCCGTCTCAGAGCTCATCAGAGACGTTCTCTTGTCTCGTCCTCAGTCCTTCCCGGGAATGTCTCAACAGTACGGAGTTCCCGGCGGTTCAATTCCAGGTTCGGGCGGAGGCGGCCACGGCCCGTACGCCGGCCCGAACATGCCGTACCATCCAGGTGAGACCCGACCAACTATTCAGACACAGCAAAGCCACAATCATGTTAGCTTAGCACAAAGACTGGGAGTAGGGGAAACGTTTAGCTTAGCTCCTTTTTTCATGTTTAACTTCAGGTCCCGGAGGTCCAGGCCCCGCCCCCCAGCGCTCTGGCTCCTCCCCCTCCTACCAGACCCACAAGCTATCACAGTACCCCTCATCAGGGCCGCCCAACCCGCAGTACTACAAGGTGAGCAGCTCGCTGCTCCACACGCCCGTCGCGCTGTTGTTGTTGTTGTTGTTTCATGTTGCTGTTGTTACGCAGCAGGAACACTTTAACGGTCAGGGTGGAGCTCTTGGCGCCATGACGACGGGAGGTGCCGCCGGTGTCTACAGCTCCTTCAACCAGCCGTCGGGGGTGAGGTTCCCTCCGCGTTATCTGCCAGTACTCCACCCGTCCTACGCTCTCTGTAGTGATTTGTCTCACGCTGTCTTGTGATTGGACGACGCTGCGTTCATTAACGGGTCAAAGGTCGGCTGGTTATTTCGCCGTGTTTATCTGCCGTACGTTGAACATGAAACGGCTGCGTGGGGCTGATCTACATTTCTTATTCTTTTAGTTTGTGTCTCAGGATTTATTTCACTTCTTATTCTACCAAACGAGCTCAGACTTTTTTTCAAAATAAAAGTCCTCCTCTTCCATAGAAACTACTGGCTGATCTGAGCCTCCGTTCTGACTCTTGTTCTCCTCCCGTGCGTCTCGCAGCCCGGCCGAGGGTTGCCGGGTTACCCCTCCTCTCCGGTCCCGGGGAACCCGACCCCCCCCATCACCCCCAGCAGCTCTATGGCTCCGCCCTACATGTCGCCTGGCAACACCGACGTAAAGCCGTCGCCCTCTTCCTTCCTCCCCGACATCAAGCCCAACATGGCCAGTCTGCCGCCGCCCCCCCCCTCAGGTACAAACATGTTACATGTTACATGTTAACGCCGACACGCTGTGGTCTCACAGCCGAGGCGTCTAACCTGTGGTGACTTCCTGTTGACAGGTAACCCTAGCGACGACCTGCGGCTGACCTTCCCGGTGCGTGACGGCGTGGTCCTAGAGCCCTTCAGATTAGAGCACAACCTGGCTGTGAGCAACCACGTGTTCCAGCTGAGAGACTCCGTCTACAAGACGCTCATCATGAGGTACGTGCGCACACACGTGCACCTTCTGTGACCAGGGCCTGTCCTCCTACGTGGGGTTAAATCACCACATGGATCAGTTCATCACTTCCTCATTGATGGAGGAGCGACATCAGTTGTTTTATAGGAGCCACTTCTCTGAGATCACAAAGACCCGTTATGACATCACTTCCTGTACGAGCGCCATCGATGCTGAAGACAAATCATTTATCTACAAGAAGCCGAAACGTTACGTGATGAACACCACACGCTGCAGCCGAGCGTCCGCTGTCCCACACTGTGTCCCACTCAATGTCCCACTCACTGTCACACTCACTGTCCCACTCACTGTCCCACTCACTGTGTCCCACTCACTGTGTCCCACTCACTGTCCCACTCACTGTCACACTCACTGTCCCACTCACTGTGTCCCACTCACTGTCCCACTCACTGTCCCACACACTGTGTCCCACACACTGTGTCCCACTCACTGACCCACTCACTGACCCACTCACTGACCCACTCACTGTCCCACACTGTGTCCCACACACTGTGTCCCACTCACTGTGTCCCACTCACTGTGTCCCACTCACTGTGTCCCACTCACTGTCCCACTCACTGTGTCCCACTCACTGTGTCCCACTCACTGTCCCACACTGTGTCCCACTCACTGTGACGTCATCACATCGATGGGGAGGATAAAGGGAGGAAACCTTTAGAGACACAGGAGGACGCTGGTGCACTTTTATCATTTAACATTTTTTAAACTGAATTCCATTTATTGTTCTAAAGGAGTACATTTTATTCCTCTTGCCGTCTTCCTGTCTGCTGCCACGCACCAATCCGACTCCTCGTATGTCTGACATGGTGATAAATGTGCTTTGAGTTTACTAAGAATCCTGGTCTGACGTGGGACGATTATCCTGATAATTCAGACTTCAATCACCTCGTTAATTTGAGCGATTCGATGGACTTTGGTGTTGAATGAATTACTGCATTTATCTCTCAGACCGGACCTGGAGCTCCAGTTCAAGTGTTACCACCACGAGGACCGGCAGATGAACACCAACTGGCCCGCCTCCGTCCAGGTCTCTGCGCCTCCTTGTCAATGGTCACATGGTAAAGAGATCCCCATGACGCAGCGGACTCACTGTGCTGCTCCTCAGGTCAGCGTGAACGCCACTCCCCTCACCATCGAGCGAGGAGACAACAAGACGTCCCACAAGCCTCTGTACCTGAAGCAGGTGTGCCAGCCGGGCAGGAACACCATCCAGATCACCGTCACCGCCTGCTGCTGCGTAAGGCCCCGCCCACCCGTCGACGCCCGCGGCTCGTACCTGTGCTCACTGCCTGTCTCTCCACAGTCCCACCTGTTCGTCCTCCAGCTGGTCCACCGGCCCTCGGTCCGCTCGGTGCTCCAAGGCCTGATGAAGAAGAGGCTGCTGCCTGCAGAGCACTGCGTCACCAAGAGTGAGTGGAGACGCCGTCAAGAGTTTTGGGCAATAAGGGAGATCAATGCCCTGATCAATACCCCCCCCCCCTTCCCACAGTCAAGAGGAACTTCAGCAGCGGTTCGATCGCCGGGACCCCCGGGCTGAACGGAGAGGACGGCGTGGAGCAGACGGCCATCAGAGTCCTTCTGAAATGTCCCATCACCTTCCGCCGCATCCAGCTGCCCGCCAGAGGTCACGACTGCAGACACGTACAGGTCAGAGGTCACGATGCGTACGGACTGGTCCACTAACCAGCTGATGAGCTATTAGCATCGTAGCACACAAACGCCCTGATCCGTCTGTGTCTCTGCAGTGTTTTGATCTGGAGTCGTACCTTCAGCTGAACTGTGAGAGAGGAACATGGAGATGTCCTGTGTGCAAGTATGTCTCTCACTACTACGTCCTATGTACAATAAACACATGTATGTCTTTACTAACGTCTGTGTGTGTGTGTGTGTGTGTGTGTGTGTGTGTGTGTGCGTCATATGTGTGTGTGTGCAGTAAAACCGTTCTGTTAGAAGTTCTGGAGGTGGATCAATACATGCTGGGAATCCTCATCTATGTTCAGAAGTAAGACAACTTT